GACACGCGCGCTCGCCGAAAGCTTTGTTGTTATTAGGCACGGCCGTTACCCGACCGTTGCCCGCAGCGCGGAACAGAGCGCGCCAATTGTAACCGTGTTACGGGCCGTGACCCACCGATAAACGCATCGCGACGGGGGGGACGAGGACAGTTCGCCGGGGCCTCGCCCGGGGCCAGCCCGGGGTGGCCGCCCTGACCAAGCCCCTGATGGGTTAAGCTCTGATGGGATCAGCGGGACCGAATCCATCGCCCGCCCCGCCGGCGAATGAGCGCTGTGCGGCGCTGTGTGAGGAGCAGGGGGCGGGCGACAACCGGCTGCGACCCCCCTCCCCCCTATTCCCGTAATTCTTTTCCCCTTTGCCCGCGCGTTTCTAAGGGCCGCGGTGAGTCCGACAGAGACGCTGTTGAGCCTCCCTTCACTCACGACTCCTTACAAGAAGTACGCCACCCCGGCCGTTGGACGCCGGCGCCTTGTCCCGCTCCCGCCGGGCCGTGTAAGGGCGCACCTCAACCTCTCGTGACCTACATATTTTAGTTAAAATTCATCAGCGACGTTAACCGTCCTTTTCCTCTCGTCGTGCGCGCCGCAGAGCCTAAATTGGTTAACCTAATTTATTTTTCGTTTGGCGTAATCAAGGCGCTAAATATGAAAAATCAATGTGCGACGCGATCGTATCCGCCCCTCCCTACCACGCCCGCCACCGCCACCCCCTTTTCCCCTCTCTAGCCCCGTGCGATTATGTGGCCACGGAATTAGGTCAGGTTAGGATAGGTTGGATTACCCCCGCGCTCTACGGGTCGGGACGGGTCGGGACGGGTCGGGACAGGCCGGGGCGGACCCGTCCAGGCGAGGCCTGACACCTGCGCCTGTCTGACATTTCACCATGACAGTGGAGCTGGAAAACTCGTCCCCGCACCATCACGTTTTTGGCCCCCATCGCCCCAAAGCTATTTTTCCCGCGGTAATGCTATATAAACAACTTGGTCCATGGTGTGTCTTACTGCTGCCCAACCATTTTGAAGCTTCCCTCTGAACCCCTCTATAAATAGATAAATTTTAACTTGGTTTCAGACGCGCACTGTTGAATAAAATCTATCCCCTCTCCCTTCTCCCCTTTTGGTATGCCAATTTTCTAGCTTCTAGAACTTGTAATTACGTTGCAGCCATCAAATTACAGCTGTAATTGTAAAATTACAATGCGAAGAGATAGTGTTGAAAGTTAGCCAACCGCCGACCTGGTCAAATACTCGATGCAATTATACCAAGAGGGGGGACTATTTTTGATAAGTACAAAAACTGTGTTCTATCTTTTTAACGGTTCGTTATGTCATGTCTTTCTAACAAGTCTCATGGATGTCTTTTTGTCATTGAAGTCACGTGTTTGTGCAGTGCACTCGAAGAATCAAAGCGGGTGGCGCAGCCCCCCAGGCAGTAGAAGGTGATTGTGTTTCCATTAATAGCTCGAAGATTTCGAATTACGTTTAGAAAATAAATCTAAGAAATGCAGTGGTCCAGGTCCAAGGGGCAGTTTGTGATTTTAGATGGTTTGAAACGGTTAGGTGAATGATCAGGAAAAGTCTTTTATCAATAACTGTTTCTCTGGATGTCAGACCCTCACAGACTCCTGATACCATTACGTATACAGAAAACATTAATAGCAACATTGCAGCGTCGTCGTATCGCTCCTATTCTATCTTGGTTTGTAGTGGACGTAGCGGACACCTGGACATGGTTTTGCACTGGCTGTGACGTAATCCGCCGCCACTTCTCTCTTCGTGCCCAACTGCCCATAACCCATTGCATTCATTTGATGCCCCCCCCCTTCCTCCTCCTCCTCCTCCTCCTCCTCCTC